TTTAAAATATTAGAGCTTCTTCCAAGTTGTATGAGGAAGGCCTCCCAACATCAAGTTTGGATCCAAAGAGCTAAGATAATGAATGGTAAACAATAAACAATTAGAGAATGAAATTATGATAGGAAAATTCTCACGTGTACCAAAAAACCTTGTACACTTCCTTGGTCAAGGGAAGGAATATTCTCACGTGTGATGGAATTTGACAGGAAAAACAGCTGTGAAAGGGTCTGCAATATCTGAAATTCCATTTTCTTCTCTCAATAAATCTCAATCTTTTCTCATATCTGTTAATAAATCACGCCTGCGTCTCTTATCCCTTCATTCTGCCACATCCATTACTTTTCTCCAACTTTCTCTCAAACATTGCCCAACACCACCACAAAGCTTCTTTCGGATAAGGCGCACCTTCATCAAAAGTACACACACACTATTAATATTGCAACTCAATTCTTAACCATAACTTACTAATTTCTAAATTATTCTTTAACCAAAACTTAAAGACTAACTTCTATGCTCTACCAATTTGAGAAATATTTACTCATCCATTTTCTATCACTAGTTAGATCATACGATGTTTTCTATGGTTGAAATTATAAGATCCTTAATACTATTGTTTTATGCTCCTCTTGTATGGTTATAATTCACCCATATATATGCTTATAAGTAAATTTTTGTCCACATTACAAAATATACACTTTTTTGCACATACCATTATTTTGCAAGTTCATACATTAATTTGGATACTGATACAAGTACCCCACAACAATTCCAGAAAGTTTTGGGGTCAGCACCTTACTCACTGTTATCTTCATCAACAAATGGGTCTAGTGGGTCACAAGAAATATGAAATGAAAGTTCGATTAGATCAATTGAATTTTATTAAAATTTGCAATTAGTTAAATATGTCATCCGTTCTATAAAATGGATAAATTTTTATTTTAATTCTAAAGATTTTTTTTTCTTTTAAAAAATTTGAAATCGATATTTTTTATTGTTATAAAATAAGTGAATTTTAATTTTAATTTTTTTTTATAGATTTTCTTTAATTTTCATCCTTTCATAATTTAAAGTTTTTATTTTTAAACCTCATATTAGGATAAATAAATTACGTACATTCACACTCTAAATAGGATAATTAATTGAATTGATATTCTAAATTTGATAAGTTTGAGGGCAAGTGATGAGAGTGGTACACCTTTAAGGGTGTGGGTAAAGGTTGATTAGACTTGCTCTTTACTGATTTAACTCTCTTATCTTTGGCCGTGCGAGAAGGAGGGAAAAAAGCTGGAAAAAAAAATGAAAAAAATGAGAGTTTAATTTGTATACATGGATTGTTAATGAAATTATTGTAACAAGAATAATAATAATAATTTATATTCATTCTTTACGTATTTCATTAAATAAAAGAAAAATATAATTATATTGGATTTTTTTATTTTAATGAATAATAATAATAATAATAATAATAAAGTTTTAACACAAAATATTGATATATTACTCGTATTATTTCAATATCTATCACTAAAATCAATAATCACCTCCAAAAATGTTGATTGTTATAATAATATAGAAAATATTAAAATAAAAGCATTTTAATCATTATTAAAAAATTATTTTTCTCCTCATCAATTTCTTGAAACTAGAGTGTCTAAAATTAAAATCTGACTTAACTTGATCTATTTAATAAAAAGTTATACTTTATAAAAAAAACATGTTAGACTTAATAGAAAAATCTATTTAATTATATAATATAATAAAATATAATATACATATTACATTATTAATAATATAATTAAAAAAAATAAAGTTGTAATACAATAAAATCATATTTATATATTTTACATTTTTATTGCACTTAAATATTTTACATGTATGAAAAATAAAAATTCTAGCATCTCTATTTTTGCTTGTTCTTTTCTTTCATCTATATGATGATTGATTATTTAAACTATTCTAAATTGAGATATATGAAAATTTTAGAAAATCATTTTTTTTACTAAGATTATTATCTCTTTAATCACAATTTATGCTTGAGTATATGAATATATATATATATATATATATATATATATATATATATATTCTCTATCTTGTGTTT